TTTAGAACAGCCAACCACGAGGACATTCTTTCCTTCTAATTAAGATGACTGCAAGTCTCCTATCCGCAATCAGCCCCATTATTCAGTCCTCAGATATCAAAGGGTGGTCAGGAGGGGCTGCCTCAGCTGGTTGTAGGTTGGGTTTCTTTCTTTCTTTTGAACCATTAAGTTGGAAATGTGACCCAGAACTGGAGTAAATGCCAGCGCTGGGGTGGGGGGAGGGCAAAGCAGGATTCCGGGTGGAGCCTGCAGGAGCTGCTCCAGGGCCTCGCGCCCTGCACCCCTGCCTGGGCTGAGGATGCCCAACTAGGCTGTAGCCCACCCGAGGGTAGGTTCTGTCTGGGCATCAAGAGAGAGCCTGTGCCTGCCCTCAGGATGCCCAGTGCTGGAGGGTCAACAGGGGGCTGTTGGCACAGACTCACAGGGGGCTGAGGGCACAGTGCCCACAAGGTTATGATGTCCTCATTTTACAGGTGAGCAACTGGAGGCTCAGAGAGAGGACGTCCCTGGTAGAACTGCAGGAGCCTCTTTGGTGCCGGCTGCAGCCGGGCCGCTGGGCTGGGTGGCAGCTCACCGCCCACTCTGGTGGCCTGGTGCCCAAGGTCAGAGGCCTGCCGACCTCCACCAAGGCGCCTGGGGAGGATCCAGGTGTGGGGCCAGGCTGCCAGTCAAGTGGGAGGAACAAGGTGCAAGCAGGGCCTTTGAGCAGCTTGCCCATGGAGCCACAGCTGACAGATGAGGAAACCGAGGCTGAGAGAGGCAGAGGCAGCCCCGAGCAACTCAGCCTGCTGGTGTCAGGTGCTAGGGACCCCATTCTGTGGTAGGGCCTACCCGCCACTCACCCCAGTGATGGGCCGGCCTGCTGCGAGGCTGGGCCTGGAGGTGATGCCAGGGGCCTTGAGTCCAGCCTGAGCCCTGGATGCAGGAGGAAGGCACCTACCGAGACCGTGTCCCACCCCCCCATGGAGCAGAGGCAGGGTGGGTCTGGACGCCAGGCCTCCCAGCCTACCTGGCGCCTAACCGACTGGCTGCGCTGGACAGAGGAAGTGCAATCGCCTGCGGCGGGTGGAGCGGGGCACTTGAGCCCGGGGCTGCGGGGACAGCCCCCCACTGCGCTGGGCAGCCCCGGCCCCAGGCCCCTTTGTTCCCCGGGGAGGCGACGGCGCTCGGCGGTACAGACCCTTCAGCGCCTGGGCTTTGTCGCCCCCTCGTGGCCGGAGCCGGTCTCGGTGGCGTCGGATTAATTGCGGGAAACCGAGGGGTGCGCGTGGGGGGTGGAGTCTGGGGGGACCGAATGGGACTCCCGCGGATCTGAAGACCGAATCTCTGGGACGCCCCTCGCTCGGGCCCGGGTCTCCAGGCCCGGGTAACAGCAGAGGCATTTTTAGGCCCCGAGTCGGGGAGGCGGACCCCCACTTCTGCAGGTGTAGGGAGCAGAAGAGCCGGCCGGCCTGGGGCCCCGCTTGGCGGTATTATTATTTAGTGTGAGCCCTGCCTCCTGCTGAGTTCCAGGGGCAGATTCCTGCCGCTCCCGGGCCTCCGTTTCCCCATCTGCAGAGTGAGAGGCCCTCGCGTGCAGAAAGGGGCCTGGGGGCGTGGCCTCTCCCGACGAGGGAGGGGTGTCAGCACCCAGGACTGGCCACAGGCCACGCAGTCCCTGAGCAGCTGGTGGCACGTCACCCCTCCTCCACCGACCCGCCCGCCCGGGGCTGGAAGAGGCAGTGGCGGTCCTTTCAACACGTCCCGACTCCTGTGTGGCCTGGCAGCGCCCCGGGGGTCAGGCAGGCTCAGGCCCTCACCCCGCCTGTATGCTGCTGGATTTGGAAATCTGAGAAAGACTCGCAGCAGGGGGGTTGCAGGCAGGTGGACGCGGGCACAGGCTTGACCTTGTGGAGTCTCGTGCTTGACCTCTACAAAGGAGGCTTGAAGCCACCCACTTGTGGGTTGAAAGATTAACAGCACTGGGTCCACAAATACTGCCATGACTTTCAGATACTCAAGTTAATATTTGCCGAAGAGAAACCTCAAGCTTCCCAGCTTGGTGATAAGTTAGGGAAAACCCACCCACCAGGGGCACTGGGCCAGCAGGGTGCCCAGGTGGCATTTCGGGGAGAACCAAGGAGGACCGGTGGGCAGGCCTGGATGCCCATAGCAGTGATCCCGGGCGGGGTGCATACAGCGTGGCAGGGTCCCGGACGCAGAATGTTAAACCCAGTTCTGAATTTAGCGATTATCGTCCCATGCACACCCTCTAGTTTTTACTACATGTGTATGTATATATTCCCGCCCAATGTAAGACATAAGCGTGGCTTGGAATATTTCCAAATTAATATAAAGGCTTTATCGTCTATGAACTTTTCTACATCTTTATTCACACGGCATTAGGATCTACCTGTGTTAATACGGTTCCTCTACTTCATTGCTCTTCCCCAATGAGTGGCCTTGGAATGTATAGTAACAATTTATTGCTCTATTTTCCTGAATATTGACATTTGGGTTGTTAACAGTTTTCTGATAGAAACAATGTTGCCTTTGTGAACAGAAGTTCTTGAGCATGGGATTCAGAGTTTCTCTGAGGCAAACCAGGGAGTGGGACTTCAATTTACCAGAGACGCCCAAAGTGCTCTCCAGTTCCGGCACCAATTTATAGTTTCGTCAACCATAGGAGCATTCCAGCTGCTTCTGCCCACCTTAGTGTTACCAGGATTAAACTGCCAGGTGAAAACAATCCACTGTTGTGGATGCGATTTGCATGTCCTGATTGCTAATAACAAGTGAGCATCTTTTTATTCTTTTTGTTGGTTGTCGCTTCAGTTTCCTCTTCTGTCAGTTCCCTGTTCATAGCCTTTGCCCGTTTTCTTTTCTTTATTGATATGTAGGAATTCTTTATGTATTTTGATGACAACTATACTTCCTTGGTCGTGAGCTTGTGGACACCTCCTAGTTGGTGGCTTTTATCTCGCTCTCTTTTTTAAAAAGTTATTTTAGAGAGAAAGGGAGAGGGGGAAAGAGAATCATAGGTGCACTGACCAGGGGATCGAACTGAAACCTGGGTATGTGCCCTGGCCTGGAATCGAACCCTCGACTCTTCAGTGCACGGGATGCAGCTCCAACCAGCTGAGCCACACCAGCCAGGGCACCAGCTGGTAGCTTTTAGCTTCACCTTTTTATGGTGTCTTTTAACACATAGTTTTAATTTTTTAAAAAAAAATCCTCACCCGAAAATATTTTTTCCATTGATTCTCAGAGAGAGTGGAAGGGAGGGAGGCGAGGGGGAGAGGAAGAAAAGGGGGAGAGAGAAACATTGATTGGTTGCATCCTGCATGCGCCCTGACTGGGCCAGGGATCCAACCTGCAACTGAGGTACCTGCCCTTGACCGGAAATCGAACCCAAGATCCTTTGGTCCTTGGGTGGACGCTGTGATCACTAAGCCAAACCAGCCAGGGCAATAGTTTTAATTTTAATGATATTAAATCTTCATTAGGAATCCGTGTGGTTTATCCTTATTTATCCTGAAGTTATAAAGGTATTCTTTATTTTCTTCTAAAATGTTTAAACTTTGCTTTTTTTGCAGTAGATTTGTGTGTCCCTGGAATGATTTTTTTTTTTGGTATGGGGTGAGTCAGAGATCCATTTTCATTCCCCCCACACTCCCACACACAGATAATTGTCCCACTACCAGTTGTTAGCCCACTGTTTCTCCACTAATTAAAAAAAAATACATTTTTATTGATTTCGGAGAGAAAAGGAGAGAGAGAGAGAGAGAGAGAGAGAGAGACATCAATAATGAGAGAGAATCATTGATCAGCTGCCTCCTGCACTCCCTCCAGGGGATCAAGCCTGAAACTCGGGCATGTGACCTCCTGGTTCATAGGCTGACACTCAACCACTGAGCCAGACCAGCCAGGCTCTTCACTAATTTTTGAGAGAAAAAAAACACACAATAGTTGTTTTGGAAAAAAAGAAATAAATCTACCTAAATAAAATATTAGCAACTGAAACCAACGATGTGTTAACACAACATTATGAGCAAGTTGCGTTTACCCCCAAGAATTCAAGGATGGTTCCCGTTAGAAACTCTACTGATGTCACTGAGCTCATAAAGAAAATCCCCACGATAAAATATTAGCAACTTGCTAACTGCATGCTTTGAAAAATTCAGGGCAGCAAGAATCCAACAAAAACGAGGCATGAGCCATAAAGACGCTGCGGGGTCCATTTGGGTGTGTGTCCAGGCTTTGCTCGGATGACTTCCTAAGGTTACTGTAACGCCTGCGTTCCCATGACCACGAAGAATGTCTTTGGCAAGTCTGGCTTCCCCGAGGAGGCCTGAGAAATGAAAGATTAATCCAGCCCGGCGAACCCTGTGGTCCCGCACCTCGGGGCGCAGAGCGTCGGGACCGAGGCCGGATCGGCCTCCCACGTAATAAATCTCCTGGCGGCAACCGGAGACGGGTTCTCTGCACTCAGAGCCGCCAGCTCTGCCAGGACGGACTGATGACCGTGCACCCGAGGCCGGTGGGTCTGCCTTCGTCCCTCCCTCCTACGTCCTCCCTCCTCCGGGGAGAGGGGTGGACACCCTGAACGGGGTGAGCGTGGGGATGTCTGTTTAGAATCCAGGGCTGGGCCCTCAGAGGGTGGCCCGGGGGCAGGGCCTGCCGGGGAGAGGGGACTCAGGGGCGCCCGATCGGGA